AAGTAAGTAACGCATTTTAAATTTACAAGAGAATATCTGAGTTACTTTTTCAAATAAGTAACGCTAGTTACTTTTTTTTCTCCGATTTATTGATTGACAGCCCTGGTGTTGCCATGGTGACAGAAATCAGAAGATGTTACTGTAGTTCTAAAATAAATATGAATATGCATTAATTCATCTCACTAACAAAAAACAAAAAACAGATTCAGTATTCCTCAAAATGAATAAAAATAATGCAACTCAGAATATGACGCAAACCTGCAATAATTAAATGTTAAACAACACAAATCTGCTTTATGTATTTAATCCCATTCTATTTGCTTCTGAGCTTCGATGATCCAGTTCAACCGTACTAATAAGCACAAATTACTCTAGACAAACATCTGTGTGTCTTTGTTTATTGCTGAAGTGTGTTGAAATGTCTTCTTCTGCGTTCTACTGTACGGACGTAAATGTACTTTCCCTTCAGCCTGAGGCTTATTCATTTCACTTTTGGTGTGAAAGGCTTTTATATTTGCCAAAAATAGAACTTTTTTATTTTAAAAACAAACAAGCAAGCCCTGTCCAGATTTAAAAAGTAACGCAAAAGTAACGTAATGCATTGCTTTCCATAAAAAGTAACGAAGTAACGTAGTTACTTTTGTATGGAGTAACGCAACATTGTAACGCATTACTTTTAAAAGTAACTTTCCCCAACACTGGTTATAGTTGCATTTACTGTAGCTCTGATGCATGCAGATATTAAGATCATATAAACATAAGCCATCTGATCTAGATCTCCTCAGATGTGAGACTCACTCCTCCAGACACAGGTATCCGTTCTCTCGGTGTCTGGCGTGGCTGATGGAGTCTCGAGCCGTGCTGCTGTAGGAAATAACCACAGCGCCGTAGTCTCTGTACATGCGCAGGCGCGGAGGAGAGCAGCACGCCGGCATGACGACGAACACCGGGACCCGCAGCTCCACCGCGTGATACGCCACGGCCTTCGAGAAGCTACAGTCTGTGGCCACGATCACACCCTTCCTCTGCTGACCCTGGAGCAGTGTACAATACTACATTTAATGTGATGAAAACCAGAAATTACAGTAGTCGCACAGCAGGCACGTGCACAGGTAGGGCTCAACCTGTGCAGAGCACATGCCCTTTTTGTCCTTACACTCCGAAGTGCCCTTTTTTTTTAGTTTTTTTTTTGTTCTTCTTCAATAAATCAATGCTATTGGTCACCCTTTACGTCTGTCTGTCTGTTTTATAATATATTTAGCGAATGAAAGGTATTCAAAAGAGTTTGTGACTAAATCTTGTTGGATCCGCTCAAACTGTCAGTCAAACCTCATAACTCCGCCCCCTGTCTTGACTGACTGAGTGCAGTGAACTGAAGTTCCACAGCAGAGCAGCTGAACGTCTTGCAAGAGTAAATAAATATCTTCTTGCTTGTATAAGTATAGCGTTGTCTTTACGCAAGAAACACTAGTATGTCTACTGTATAAAGGCTCATGTTTTATGCATTTGAGGTCTGAGACCGGACCTGCGGAGAGAGGGCATTTGCCATCTAAATTAGTCATAGCCAATAGCCTACACTTAAATAGCATTTGCATACAGTAGCATTTCATCTTTTATAAAATGACATTTTGGCCAAACGTATTTTACAACAGGAAAACCTGAGCGCCCATATAGCCACATCAAACTTTGTAACCTGTTGATCAAAACGTAATGTGATGATTAAATGATGCCGTTTTAATGATGGACAAGTTGCACATTTGCACACACATTCGCTGGTCAAAAACCCGGCCATAACTGCATTTGAGTTTGACACAAAGCTACTGAGTGTTCCTTGTCAGCTAGGTAAAATATATTTCTAAGAAAATTTAACATTTAATCATATTATATATGGTCACACTCACAGCATGGTTAATGTTTACGATGTTAATATGCATGTATTTGCTAGCTAGCTAATTTTTGAATGTAGTATTCTATACTCTCCGCTTATCATTAAGATGTGACCAGTAAAAAAGGGGGGGGTGCCCTTTTTCAGTTTCAGCACATGCCCCTCAAAAGGTCTGTGCACGGCCCTGTCGCACAGTATCACTCAGGTTTGTTTTTGTAAAATTAAATATAATGTCTTAAACAGATGATAATAACAAATATACCCCAGCGACTTAACACTGCTTTTGTGCTGCAGGGACACAGATAATTATTATCAAATTAAACATAAAACATAATATCAGTTATAGTATATCAGTTCATATGATCATTATAATCATTCTAATAATAGATGAAATTGCACTACAAAAATTCACACGTATCCAGTTTTATTTTTATAAATTAAATAGAACATATATTAAATAAATGCTAGTAAAACAGCACTGCTGTGCAAATGTTTGCTATTTAATATCTAGTTTCTTGACACATATTATCATATTAATTACAATATCAGTTTAATTGTTATACATTCAATATATGATATTATATTTAGTATTTTATTAATATGTGTCAGGAAACCATAAATTACATTAAAAAATGTGCACAGTAGTGCATATGGTATTATATTTACATGGTATCATTCAGTTTTATTTCTATAAAATTAAATATATATTAAACATGAAAATAAAACTGAATTTTTGTAGTTTAATTTCTGGTTTCTTCTCACATATTATCATTAAATATAATATCAGTTGTATTATTATATGTTTCATTTATGATATTATGTTTAGTATTAAAATAATATATTTAAAGAAACCCCAAACTTAAGATTTGCGCTGTAATGCTCAGTTTTATTATCATATCTTTAATATATAATATTATATTTAATATTACAATAATATGTCAACAAATCAGAAAAATCCATTACAAATGACAAAAATCCACATTTTAGTAAATTACATATCATATGTTAAAAATATGATAATAAAGGCACTAAATTGTGAATTTTTCTAATTTAATTTCTGGTTTCTTGACACATTATTATCATATCAAATATAATACTCCTTTTATTATATCTTTAATATGTGCTCTTATATTTAGTATTGTAATAATATATGTCAAGAAACATAAGTCACACTTACAACTAAATCACAAAATATCAAAGTGAGTGTGTTTATCTGCAGGAGCTTTAGTCTTCGTTTTTAGCACTAAATCTGTTGTTTTATGATAACTGATCAGTCTTCTTCTGCATCAGATGCACTGTTTGTAACTGAAGTGTGTGCATGACTCGTGTGTGTCTCTGTGAGCTTCTGTATGTGTGTGTTGAAGGCCTGACCTGTTTGAGAGAGGACAGCAGGTACAGCGCTCCTCTCTCCTTCACTGAACCCGTGTAACGCAGAAGCTCTTTCTTCAGGAAGATCTCCATGCCGTGCTGTTTGGACAGTCTGGAGTACTGCGGGCAGAGCGCACACCTTCATGAGTTTGACATCAGAGCGCTGGAAATGCTTTACAATGTACAGAATGTTAGAAAATAATATACTTGAATTTGAATTTGCCAATTGCTGATTGATATGCAATGCAGAGTTATTCAAACAGGATGAGAAAAATTATATATTTTGATATATCGCCCTGATTAATCAATATTTATTTTGTTTAATTGTGGCTGATCAAGCTGTTCTATGTAGCTAGTATGCATAACAAAATGATTTCTCTGTGCCAGGTTTGACTAATGATCAACATTTACAAAATGTAGTATTTAATGATGTTTAAATACATATGAAAATGCAAAGCCTAATGAAAGTACAAATGTGACCCTGGAGCACAAAACCAGTCATAAGGGTCAATTTTTCAAAGGCTGAATAAATAAGCTTTAAACACAAAGCTTATAGTCATTATAATCATTGGTACAACCCTCCCTTCTCTCCAAGAACTGTTGTGTGTCTGTGAGTGTGTCTGTGTGTGTGTCTGAGAGTGTGTGTGAGTGTCTGTGTGTCTGTGAGTGTGTCTGTGTGTGTGTCTGAGAGTGTGTGTGAGTGTCTGTGTGTCTGAGTGTGTGTCTGTGAGTGAGTGTGTGTCTGAGAGTGTGTGTGTATTTTTCACGGTAAAGTTCTGGCAACCACAGCTGCCGGTATTTTACCGTAAATTTAACAAACTTTTTTTACAGTGTGAGTGTGTGTGAGTGTCTCAGTGTCTGTCTGTGAGTGCGAGTGTCTGTCTGTCTGTGTGTGTGTGTGTGTGTGTCGTAGTGTACAGGGTGTTTTCTGAATCCCGGCCTGCTGGAGTTTGAAGGCTGCGGCGCTGATGTCCTCGAAGCGCAGATGTTCAGGAGCAGCTTTGGCTGCTGTCTTGCTCTCTCCGCTCTTCTTCACGGCCGGTTTGGGTGTGGACATTAACTGGACCTCCGGCGGTTCGGAAACGCTGGTCTTGAAGACCTTCACGTCTCCATTGAGGTACTCCTCGGCTCCGAAGTCCTTCAGGCGTTCTGGGCAGATGAGCGTGGAGCGGCGACCCACTCGACTGTTCCCGATCCGGCCGTCTTTAGCGCACGGGCCGCTGTGGAAGGAGCAGTCGGGTTTGGAGGAACCTCTGCGCTGCTCCGCACTGTCCCAGGAAAAACAGAGAGTAACTCTACTCTACTAAACCTGCTCTAGAAATACTGTGACTCTAATGAGAAGTTATCAAGTCTAAACCTGAAACTACAATTAAAACCAACAAAAAATATTGTTACTTGAAATAAACATTAACTAAAATAAAATAAAATGTAAAAATCCTTTTATTTGCGCTAGTAGCCAATTTCTCGTTTGAATTTAGTTTAACTTGATCTACTAAAATAACTAAAAATACAAATACAAAAAAACTTTATAGACAAATAAAACAAAATCACACAACAAAGTTACTAAAACTTGAAAATTAAAATTAAAACAATATAAAAATAAAAATAAAAACTATTATTAAAATATAAATAAAAAATAGTATTTCAATGATACTAAAATAGCATAGGTATGTAGGTCCCATTAATTAACATCCGTTAATGCATTAACTAACAATGAGCAAAGCATTTATTACAGTATTTAATAATCTTTGTTGATGTTAGGTAATAAAAATACAGCTGTTCATTGTTAATTCAAGTTAGCTCAGCTCCATTAAATTATATTAATAGATATGACTTTTGATTTTAATAGTACATTAGTAAATGTTGAAATTGACTTAATAAATGCTTTAATAAATGAATCCCAGCCACGTACAGACGCTTAAGTGAAGTTAATAGTGTTTGAGTGTCTCTGGTCATGTGTGTCCAGCACTGAAGTCTATTAATATCCGAGCTCTGCAGGTCTGACCTCTCGCCTCATTCCCACATCACAACATCTCTGTTATTGTCGTGCATTAATAACTTTTTTCAAGATGTTTGAAGCTCTCTCTGTCTCACATGTTTACCGTGGCAGGAAGAGGAGGATGAAGGTGAGGAAGAGTCTGAGGAGGATGCAGACTAAAGCTTGGAGGAGCGACAGGAGAGTGGCGTTCTCTGTGAGCTGTGGGAACGGAGGCAGAGCTACGGATGAGGACGGTTCTGCTGGGTCTACAGGAGCTTTGGAAAGCGGGTGGAGGAGCATCAGCCCTCTTTGCAGCTCCAGCTTGAGACCTGCTAGGTTTTCTGGGAGCGGGATGAGGAGCGGGATCTGCTGAGGGTTTGTCCATGTGTGATGGAGATGAAGCCTGGTGTCTCCGTGTGAGTTCTGGTCCAGGTTTGTGCGTCTCAAGGGTTTTACGGGCAGGTGAGTGTGAATCAGTGGATGGAGGAACCACAGGATGGGAAGGAGAACACAGAGGAACCGCTACATGCTGGTGAAACTCCACACCAGTCACATCACGTCTCTCAGACTCAGGAGGACACTGGGAAGACTCTCTAAGGGTTTCAGATGTGCACGCTACGGTTTCCCACCTCTGCCAGAAGGGATCATATTCCTCGCTGTCATTAAAGTTCCTCCGTGTCTCCTGCGCCTACAAGCCGTCGTTCACAAAGTTAGCAAAAAATTGCGCTGCAAAATTCATCCTGGACTCAAGCTGACATGAAATACGAAGCTCAGCAGTATTGTCCTCTTTCTCAGGCGTCCTCCACAACATTAGGTTACTGCTCAGGGTTATTTAAGGAGGGATTAGCCATAATCACACGCTGGAGTCTCTGGGGCCCTTCCAGCCCTCCAGGACTCCACCTACAGCTCTATTCCTGTATCAGACCCGGGTTAAACCCCCCCCCTCACGTGGTCTAATCAGACTCTCTAAAGGGATAGATGAGGACTTTGTCCAGCAGAAAGTGTCCTCCATAAGACCTCAAGCTCTGACTTCTAGGACAGGCCAAATCCTCCTCAGACCGGATTTCTTTTGTGTTTGGTTGCTAGATATTGCTGGGGTTTTCTGGGTGGTTGTTAGGGTGTTGCATAGCTGTTCTGTATCATTGCTAGGGTGTTCTGTGTGGTTGCTAGGGTGTTCTGTATGGTTGCCAGGGTGGTCTATGTGGTTACTAGGGTGTTCTGTATGGTTACTAATGTGGGGTGAGGGGTTGCTAGGGTATTCTGGGTGGTTTCTAGGGTGTTACTAAGGTGTTTTGTATGGTTGCTAGATGTTACTGGGGTTTTCTGGGTGGTTGCTAGGGTGTTCTGTGTGGTTTCTAGGGTGTTGCTAGGATGTTCTGTTGGTTGATATGGTGTTCTGTGTGGTTTCTAGGGTGTTCCTTGTGGTTGCTATGTATTGTTAGGGTGTTCTGGGTTGTTTCTAGGGTGTTCCTTGTGGTTGCTATGTATTGTTAGGGTGTTCTGTGTGGTTTCTAGGGTGTTCCTTGTGGTTGCTATGTATTGTTAGGGTGTTCTGGGTTGTTTCTAGGGTGTTGGTAGGATGTTTTCTGTGTGGTTGCTAGATATTGCTGGAGTTTTCTGGGTGGTTGTTAGGGTGTTGCATAGCTGTTCTGTATAATTGCTAGGGTGTTCTGTGTGGTTTCTAGGGTGTTCTGTATGATTGCCAGGGTGGTCTATGTGGTTACTATGGTGTTCTGTATGGTTACTAATGTGGGGTGAGGGGTTGCTAGGGTATTATGGGTGGTTTCTAGGGAGTTGCTAGGGTGTTTTCTGTGTGATTGCTAGATATTGCTGGGGTTTTCTGGGTGGTTGTTAGGGTGTTGCATAGCTGTTCTGTATCATTGCTAGGGTGTTCTGTGTGGTTGCTAGGGTGTTCTGTATGGTTGCCAGGGTGGTCTATGTGGTTACTAGGGTGTTCTGTATGGTTACTAATGTGGGGTGAGGGGTTGCTAGGGTATTCTGGGTGGTTTCTAGGGTGTTACTAGGGTGTTTTGTGTGGTTGCTATATGTTACTGTGGTTTTCTGGGTGGTCACTAGGGTGTTGCTTGGTTCTGTGTGGTTGCTAGGGTGGCCTTGTGGTTGCTAGGGTGTTCTGGGTGGTTGCTATGGTGTTGCTATGGTATCCTGTGTGGTTGCTAGGGTGTTCCTTGTTGTTGGTAAGTATTGATAGTTTTCATGTGACGTCACACCCTTGTAGGAACGGCTTTGTGGAATAGTGGAATAGCTTTGCTCCACTGACTGACAGTTATTTTTGCTCAGTTTGCATTTAGTAGTAATGTAGTAAAACGCAGATATTAAAAGGTTCTAGGGTGTTGGTAGGATGTTTTCTGTGTGGTTGCTAGATATTGCTGGAGTTTTCTGGGTGGTTGTTAGGGTGTTGCATAGCTGTTCTGTATAATTGCTAGGGTGTTCTGTGTGGTTTCTAGGGTGTTCCTTGTGGTTGCTATGTATTGTTAGGGTGTTCTGGGTTGTTTCTAGGGTGTTGGTAGGATGTTTTCTGTGTGGTTGCTAGATATTGCTGGAGTTTTCTGGGTGGTTGTTAGGGTGTTGCATAGCTGTTCTGTATAATTGCTAGGGTGTTCTGTGTGGTTTCTAGGGTGTTCTGTATGATTGCCAGGGTGGTCTATGTGGTTACTATGGTGTTCTGTATGGTTACTAATGTGGGGTGAGGGGTTGCTAGGGTATTATGGGTGGTTTCTAGGGAGTTGCTAGGGTGTTTTCTGTGTGATTGCTAGATATTGCTGGGGTTTTCTGGGTGGTTGTTAGGGTGTTGCATAGCTGTTCTGTATCATTGCTAGGGTGTTCTGTGTGGTTACTAGGGTGTTCTGTATGGTTACTAATGTGGGGTGAGGGGTTGCTAGGGTATTCTGGGTGGTTTCTAGGGTGTTACTAGGGTGTTTTGTGTGGTTGCTATATGTTACTGTGGTTTTCTGGGTGGTCACTAGGGTGTTGCTTGGTTCTGTGTGGTTGCTAGGGTGGCCTTGTGGTTGCTAGGGTGTTCTGGGTGGTTGCTATGGTGTTGCTATGGTATCCTGTGTGGTTGCTAGGGTGTTCCTTGTTGTTGGTAAGTATTGATAGTTTTCATGTGACGTCACACCCTTGTAGGAACGGCTTTGTGGAATAGTGGAATAGCTTTGCTCCACTGACTGACAGTTATTTTTGCTCAGTTTGCATTTAGTAGTAATGTAGTAAAACGCAGATATTAAAAGGTGAAATTCAGTAAACACCTTATTGATTATGTATATTTTGTACAGGCAAGCAGATATACCCAGAATATAAACACAATGTGCAAAGTTTCACATTAAATGGTTTCCCATAGAAAACCATTATAAGGAAAACACTGAACCATTAAGTGGATTGCGTTCATATTCCGGCCTCATTTGCTTGCCTATGTAAACTGCGCATCATTAATATGGTGATTAGTAGTAGTAGTATACTTTATTGTCCTCAAGAGGAAAATTGTTATGGACTACATGTTGCTGCAGACATACAATAAACATATAAAAACAAAATTAAGTAAAATCATGAAAATAAAATCAAGATGAACTCTTGTTATACAACCGCACCGATACAGGTACAAAGGAATTCTTATATCGATTTAACTTACACATTGGGATTCTATATCTTCTACCAGAGGGAAGTAGTTCATATTGTAAATACAAGAAATGAGTTTGATCACCAAGAATCCTCTCTACCTGATTAAGAACACATTCCTCATATAAATCTTGAAGGTTAAAATGTTCATCATGCCCAACAATTCTCCATGCTGTCAATAACAGCTGCATCAACTTAGATTTAAACTGTACTGATAGGTTACCGAACCACACTGTGATACCATACCTAACAATACTAAGTCATCAAAAATAGAAACAGTATTTCTGAAAGACTGCATATTAGTTATAGATTTCATAGAGATTACTGAATTTGATCTTTTAATATTACTGTTTTAAATATATTAAGGCACTTTAAGTGTTTTTACAGCGTTTTGTCGCACTGTTTAATGATTGAAATATTGCCGCAGGTGCTTAATATGGATTGCAAATGGCCAAAACTTGTTTTATTCTTCTGAGAGGTGATCTAAATATTTGCGGCTGGGAAACCGATGGAAATTTGAGAGGCTTGTGCTGCAGTTCTATGAATGTTTTGCCCTCCAAGGCTTTGAGCCGGTCACGTGACTGAAAGCTATATGAATTGTTAGGGGGTTCTGTGTGGTTGCTAAGTGTTGCTAGGGTTTTCTGACTAGTTGCTGGGGTGTTTTCTGTGTGGTTGCTAGATATTGCTGGTGTTTTCTGGGTGGTTATTAGGGTGTTACATGGTTGTTCTGTGTCATTGCTAGGGTGGTCTCTGTGGTTACTAGGGTGTTCAGTATGGATACTTGTGTGTTCTGTGTGGTTGCTTGGGTGTTCCTTGTTGCTAAGTATTGTTAGGCTGTTCTGTGTGGTTGCTAAGTGTTGCTAGGTTTTCTGTATGGTTGCTAGGATGTTGCATGGTTGTTCTGTATCGTTGTTAGGGTGGTCTATAAGGGTGTTCTGAGTGGTTGCTAGAGTATTTTGTGTGGTTGCTGTGGTTTTCTGGGTGGTTGCTAGGGTGTTCTGTGTGGTTGTGAGGTTCTTCTTCCTGTCTGGTGTTCAAGAGTGTCCTGTATCCTCATGTCTCTGTGATCCTCTGGTCTGTAGATGTGGCTTTGGTTCCTCTAGGATTTTTAAGCTCTGGTCCAGCAGGTGAAAATGGTGTGTCTGATCACATAGTAAAGTATCAGCACACTCTCCTCAACACACATGATTTGAGGAATCACTCACATTTGCAGCACAAACACAACACTTACACACTCAACTGTATTACTCTGTGCTGGAGGTTTCAGCACATCACTGTCAGTTGCCCTGTTTGCTTTCAGACCCTGTTGCATGGTTAAATAAAAGAAATCTCAGACGTTTTATTTTGAAACATCATGCATTGAACTCTGTCCAGAGCGTTTTCATGCATATTGCCATTATTCACCCACAGGTCATGTTTTATGGAGCTCGTTATGAAATGTTTCCTTTTGCCTCTTTTTATCCGGCATGATGCAGACGAGATTTACAGACGAACACTAACCCCAGACATCACACCTGACAGCTCCAATACAAGGGCTGAAGAAGATCCCAAAGCAGGATCATTGTTGTCCATGTCCGTCCCCCTGATGACCATTCCAGGAATAAGAAAAGGATAGAAGTCCAGCCAAGAGAGAAGTCAATACGGAGACGGAGCCAAGAAATGCTTTCCAGCAGATTCTAGCAGTGGGACGGCATAAATTATTTAATACTCAGAAAGTTTGGAAGAATTGACTTCCCTTGAGAACAAATAGATCTGCGTGTTTGGAGGAACCAATCGCAGTTAATCAGGCAGATTTAATCAAAACACAGAGGAGAAAATCAAAGATAAGAGGAGCAAATCTCTCTGTGAGATCAGCTATCAGTGAGTCTGCGTTTGTCTGGTCAGTCCCGTAAGCACCATTGTGGATCCTTCTCTCTTAAGGAGCTTTGCACATATTGTACGTGGTGAACTTTACCCGAGAATACCAGCGGCTGAACTCTGCTGCTACAGTCATACTAAGCTACAGGGGTCAGATTTGACTGATCGCGGGTGGAGAGTAAGAAGAGATGACTGACAGAACATGCTGGAGGATTTGCTGCACTACAGATCCTGAGCTCATTGACAAATATCTGGTCTTGTAAGATGTGCTCCTTCAGTGTGCGTGACCGCAAAACCGAAAAGTGAAAGTTGCTAGGGTGTGTATGTGGTTTCTAAGGTGTTGCTAGGGTGTTCTGGGTGGTTGCTGTGTGTTGTTAGGGTGTTCTCTCTCACTGAGAGAGAGAGTGTGTGTGTGTGAGAGCATGTAAAGTTATATTAACAGCGTAATCAACGGCTCAGGGCTTCTCAAACTGGGGTTTTTGAGTTGATGAAAAGCTAATAATAAAAAATAATAATTTTTAAAAATAATGGAAAATTAGAATTAATAGTTAAAAAATAAAAACCATCAAAATAAAACACTTACAGAGAAAAGTTTCTCTTATAGAGAAAGTTGCATAAAGTATTGACAAAGGCTGCTTGTTTTGCCAAAACCTTGGTTACAAATAAACAGTGCTTTAGGGAGCGTGCAGTTATATGTTTTCTTTATTTAGTCTGCTCCTTTAACTTGCACCTCAAAAAGGTGTGCGTTTGTTTTACTATTTTAAAGTTTAGCTGCATGTCAAGTGACCTTTAAGTGACATCAGAGAACCATAAAGTGAATGTGTTGTTCATTTAAGTTAATGTTTTGGGCCTTCAAGTAAATGTTTCAGCTCAAAGGAGAAAAAAGTTTGTGAATTGCTGGCTTCTGACTCATGAGTCACGCTCTCTGCTTGAGTTTGTGTCTTCATGTTTCTGTGTGTTTGGCTTCGGTCCTGCTGGAGAGCGTGAAGCAGACCCACCCGCTCTCTCTCACACACACACACACACACACACGGCCCTCCTCCTCCAGATACAGGACACTTTTGTTCTGTGTTTTCATCAGGAGTCCAGTGAATCGAGAGCGAGAGACAGTGTGACAGAAGAGACGCTTCCACAGACGCTTCAGAGCTCAAGTCAAAGGTGAGTGTGAGCTTCTGCTCTTCATTCTCTTGGTTTCTCATCAGTGTTTGTGACAGACGTCACGTCTCTCTCCTGCAGGTCTGTCATGGGCCGCTGGTCGACACGTCTGGCTCTTCTGATGCTCCTCATTGGTCAGATTTCTGCAGGTAAGACACTGGATTGGCTGAAGGTGAGTCAGGTTTGAAAGACGATGGTCTGTAGTTTATGAGTTTGATATGCAGTTGCCGTCTTTGAGGATCATGATGGTGTTTTCAGATGGTTCTCGGGGACTTTTCTAAATCTGAAGCTGTTTCAGTGTGTGTGTGTGTGACTAGAACATCTGGTTCTGATTTGGCATGTGTTGAGACTGACAGAACCGCACAAACACATGAGATTTCACACATGAACTACTGGAGTCCATCCAGAACCCTGAGGCGCATCTGTATCAGCAGATCTTCAGCGTCTGTGATTGATCGTGTGAGATGACGTGATCAGCAGAGGTGATTAGAGTGATGTGTGTGTGATCTCACACTCATGGAATGAACACACACACACACACACACACATGCTCTCATTTTCTCTTTTTATTGGCTCAGGAATCTCTCCATCAAGCCCAGAAGAGTTGAACGAAACAAATGTGTGGCATTACTGCTTCATCAGCGGTTAAAGGGACAGTTCATCCTCAAACCATCGTTCTGTCATCATTCTGTGCTTCTTTTGTGTTCTGAAGAAGAAAGAAAGTCATACCGGTTTGAAACGACATGAAGGCAAGAAAATGAGAACTTTTTGGGTGAAGTTTCCTTTGAAGCTTGAGACAGAATCATTCTGCTTTTCTATAATTGTGGACATGAAGACGCGAACATTATTATTTTGAGTCTTTAGGTTTGTGTGATGGATGAAATGACTGACCTGGAATCAGTTTTGGGGAAAGTTACTTTTAAAAGTAATTCATTACAATATTACGTTAGTCCGTAAAAAATGTAACTAATTGTTACTTTATTTTTATTTGTTTGGAAAGTAATGCATTACGTTACTTTTGCGTTACTTTTTCTCATCTGATCTGGTCAGATCTGTGTACCTTGAACAGCAGATAAACTGACATCAGATCAGCTGCTGGAGGCCAGTGAAAAAGCCTGTCAGTCTTCGTGTGTTTAACAGGGAACATCCTGCAGCACGTAAAAAGAGGATCTATTAAAATGCTGCTCACGACATGAAGTTAAACGCAAAAACATTAAAGACTGTGGAGGTAGGAATCCAGTGGGAAAACTCATGAAACACAACAAACCCTGAGAGCAGAAACACTCCTGTAAAAGCTGCATGAGACACGTGTGTGTGTGTGTGTGTGAGTGTGAGTGTGTGTGTATGTGTGTGCGTGTGCGTGCGCGAGTGCAAGTTTGCGTGTGTGAGTGAGTGTGAGTGTGTGTGTGTGTGAGTGAGTGTGTGTGGGTGAGTGAGTGAGTGTGTGGGTGAGTGAGTGTGTGTGAGAGTGTGAGAGTGTGAGTGTGTGTGTGTGTGTGTGTGTGTGTGAGTGAGTGAGTGTGTGAGTGTGCGAGTGTGTGTGTGTCTGTGAGAGTGTGTGAGTGAGTGAGTGTGTGTATCTGGTATATAATACGTTATGGGGAGAAAACAGTAATAGGATAGTAATAGCAGTACATTTGGAACTTGTGGGGGAACTTTTTTTTTTTTTGGTCCTCATGAGGAAACAAGCTTATAAATTATGCAGAATTACATTTTTTGAGAATCTAAAAATGCCTGTAGTTTTGTGTGAGGGGTAGAGTTAGGGAGAGGGGATAGAAAATACAGTTTGTACAGTAGAAAAACCATGGAATGAACATGTAATGATACGAATACCACTGTGTGTGTGTGTGTGTAACATGAGCTCACATCATCTGTTGCCATCATTATTCAGACAGTCTGTTGTTGTAACTTTATTTCCTTGTGTCCAGATGATTGTTTTCATGTTTGAGGTGAATCTCTGATCCATTTCCAGAAATGCTCCTCAGAGTCCATATGACTCACAGAAACAGTGGAGCCGTGTGATTGATGTTTAATGTGTTTTGCAGTGACTCCAGACTGTAATTCATGTATTAACAGTAGATTGTGTGTGTGTTTGTGTAACAGAGACGAGCAGCAGCTCAAACGCCTGTCAGGATCAGAACGCTCTTCATGACCGGATGGATGCTGTAGAGAAGGTGACGTCACTGAACCAGCTCAGTATCATCAGATCTCCATCAGCGTTTAATCAGACCAAAGTCTGTCTTGAGGCAGTTTGAAGAAAGTCATGTGTCATGTGACCTCTGCTAATGCCAGCGTGTCCTTTACCTCCAGCTGATCACATGTGTCTCGTCTCTCGCTCCTGGAGATCTTTTTTATTATTTCAGCATTAATCAAACATTTCAGTTTACTTCCTGACTTTATCTTATCAGTCATCTCTCCTCAGTTTTTTTTCCAGTCTCATTGTTTCATCAGATGTTTTTGCATCACTCTAATGCCAGCTGAGATCTATGGAAGCTTGTTCATAATTTCTCATAATTCTGACATTATTCCTCTAAATTCTGAGTTTACATCTTGCAAATTTGTAGCTATTTTTCCTCTACATCCTGAGCTTATCTCTTGCAAATTTGTGACTTTTTTTCTCTAAATAGTAAGTTTAAATCTTGCAAATTTGTGACTTTTGCCCTCTAAATTTTAAGTTTATATCTTGCAAATTTGTAACATTTTTCCTCTAAATTTTGAATTTGTCTTGCAAATTTGTGACTTTTCCCCCTCTAAATTCTAAATTTACATCTTGCACATTTTTAAAGGGGTCATATGATGCTTTTTTAAAGATCATTATTTTGTGTATTTGGTGTAACAGAATATGTTGACATGCTTTAATGTTCAAAAAACACATTATTTTTCAAATACTGTATGTTATTGTAAGTCCTCTATGCCCCGCCTCTCTCAAACGCTTCGTTTTCTACAAAGTACCTCCTTCCAACA